GCCGAAGCCGCTGATGGCCCCCGTAAAAAAAAAAAAAAAAAAAAAAAAAAAAAAAAACTCACTGTTTTGAAGGGTTTTCCGTTCATAGGTGCATTCTTCCCCTTACCTTTCAGCTACGGAAGTCTGGCTACCGTCGACCCCCCAAAAATAATGCATCATGACCGTACCCGACGGTGAAAGATCAGTCGTATACATTCATAAAATCTGGGTGCATTCTGTTGGCCGGAAGATGGCCAGGGGTATAAACACTGAAAGCAACTCTTCCTTTTTTGTTTTCTCTTTTTTTTTTTATGAAGATGTGGGTCGGCATTGTCTTTCGAGATGGCCTAGACTCTGTCCACCCAGACCAGACTCCGCCCCAAATGCTTTTGCAGGGGTAATTACTCCCTGACATCATCTCCATTTTTTGTAACCCTGCATTTGGGGTGTCCACCCAGACTAGACCCCGAAATTATGCTTTTGCCCAGACTCTGTCCACCCAGACTACACCCCAAAATTATGCTTTTTTTGCCCAGACTCTGTCCACCCACACTACACCCCAAATGCTTTTGCCGAGGGAAACTTCTCCCGTTTCTGGCTGATTTCCTAAGTATCCTATGCGGTTGTTCGAGTCCTTCCTCCGGAATGTAGCACATAAGCTCTGATACACAGTGCACACAAGTCCAGTGAGAACAAACATCTTTAACAGTGCAACAATGATAACAACAACATCTTGGGAAGTTTCGACCACGATGGGGATCGAACCCACGACCTTTGGATCCGAAGTCCAACGCGCTGTCCACTGCGCTACGCGGTCCACAGAGCTCAACCTACTCACCCTTCACCACGACCACGATGGGGATCGAACCCACGACCTTTCGGTCCGAAGTCTGACGCGCTGTCCACTGCACTCCAAGCTGGTGTGTGCAGTAGTTCGTCCTTCGTTCCAAGTTGGACGATCAGTGGGGCTGCGCCTGGGGGGGGGGGGGGGGGGGGGGGGGGGGGGGGGGGGGGGGGGGGGGGGGGTGGGGTTAGGAGGGTGGGGTGGGGTGGGGTGGGGTGAGGAAGGTAGTTTGGGGGAAGGGTGTGGAAATCGAGGGTTCTGGGAGTCAGTATTGACCCTTGTCTAGGGGGGGGGGGGCACTGGAGCAAAACAAAGTTATGTTCCTGGTCTGGAACTAGAAAGTGTGTGATGAATCTGATGCTGTTGTGTGGTTGTGTACATATGTTATGGCCTCAGCACGCATGCTGTGTCGCTCCAGTACATTGGGGCTGCAAAGGAACACCTACAGGGGATTCGCTTAGTTGCACCATCCTTAAACCACCATTATCTATCGGGGTCTTAGGCCCCCTCTGACGCGAATGAATACAGACCCGTGCGGTAGGTAGATTCATCCACCAGGTTAAATGCCTGAAAAGTTAATGTGGTGGTATAACCTATAAGAGCCCATCACGAGTATCATGAAGTATGCGCTTCTTTCGGAACTTATAGGTTGCCATCGCGGATCTAGACTGAAAGTTGCACCATATACAGTTGTAAAAAATGATAGGCTATATTCGGGAGACGATGGAGTCCGTCTTCCCCCGCCTTCCCCCGAATAAAAACTGCGTCCATTATCACCATATATCTAGACTGAGAGCTGCCCTGAATACAGCAACAATGACCATATGTTCTCTACAGGGGAAGAGGGGTATTGGATCCAGACCCTGCACGTTTATGGGCTTCGCATATAACAACCCTAATAAAAACGCAGTGGTATGGGCATCTCTTTTTTCCCCCTTTTTTTTGTTCTTTTTGTTTTGTCCAATCCAAGGTGGACTTCAAGGTGGTAGGGGAAACCCATCTTTTCCTTTCTTTCCTCTCTTTCTTCTCTTTCTCGGTCTTGTGACCAAGTCCTCATTTGAGACCCCACCCTTCCACCTCTCAATATTCCCCCTGGCACACCCCCTCTCCCCTCCACCCTACCTCCATTTTTAGAACCGTCACTCAGTGATAGAGTAACCTGACCAGGCAGTGGTCGTGCGCACTAGCGCTGAATGCTAGCGCCCTTTCAGCCCTGCTTGAGCATTGTTGCACGACGAGCCTTCAGCCGTGGACGCTCTGAAGCGGCAAGGCCACCACCCCTCCCATCCTTGCGTCAATACTCCTAGCACATCCCCTATTGTCCTATGGGTGCCTCCGGAGCTAAGCGTGGATCGATTACTACTAACCCTATGAATAGACCCATGAGAGCTGCCCTCACCCCAGGAGTCCGTGCCTAGAGTTCCCTGCTTCCAGCTACCCCAGGGTGAGTCTAATAGTCACCTGGCCAGTTCTAATGGGGACTATGGCAAC